TTGATTGTTTCAGTCATGATGCAGAATAAGAATGGAATTCAGTTCTATTTGCACGTCTATAAAATGCAGTTTCAAATCTGGCATGTGTCTGAGACATATGGCATGATTTTCTATTTGTTTTGATTGTCAAAATTCCCCGTTATGCAGATAGAGACCAAGATATCCCAAAAGAAGCATCTAAAGGTAAATGCTATCTTGAGTAGGTGTTTAGATGACAGAAGATCTAGGGACACAAAGCAGTAAACCTCTGAGCATCTTCAGTTTCTTCTGACATCTGTATGAATGACAGTGTGGGGTCACAAGTTTCAATTGAGACTTACTGAGCATTTTGAGAGTTGAACATTCCTTTTTTAAAACCACCTTTGTAAAGAAAGAGCTAGAACCGCATTTTGCAATGATTACCTGTATACGCATTTCCAGCTTTTTATTTGCTTGTTTGTTTTAGTACAACTACTGAAAAAATGGTCAAGCCAAAATGCATTCACTTCAAACTGTAATGCTGTATTTTTAGCTGCATGAAGCAAGAAGGTTTTTTTCTGTCAGTCACCCTCATCTTCCTTTTCAGCTACATTAGGAAGGTTAGAAAGCACTTTCCTTCCATACGTTTCTAGAAAATAAGTATTTTCCTCAGGTCTTTTATCACAGTCTTCAAGTACCCTCTTTCGCCTTCAGAGCAAGACCCATGTTTGTAGCCAGTCACAGTAGAAAACCCCATGTTGATCTTACTAAATCCAAGACTTGCCTCAGTAATAGAGCTGTCCATTATTTGCCATTTAATTCCATGCATATAGTCATAAAGTCTTGTTTGGTCATAAATTGAAATACATTGTGTCTGTCTTCCCTGTGTGAAGTCCTCATAGCTACCATCCTAGAGGCTCGGATGTAAATTCTGCTACAGATTATTTTTAGAGCCTTGGCATGCAAAGGGTCCTTGGTAACCAAAAACATAAAAGGGAAAAACTATGTTAAAATGGTGGTCTGTTAGAAATAAAGAAGCTTGGCTTTTACTTCTCAGCATTAATTCAGAAGTATTAGTTCAGAAGCTCAGAAGATGTTTTGTCAATCATCATTTGCTGACTGAACAAAGTGACTTCCACATCAGATCAAATGTTATCTCAGTAAAAGTTGCAGCTACATCCCAAGTTGCCATGTGTTGGAGGATCCCAGGTGAATTTTTCAGTCATATGGAATGGTTTTCTCAAAAGAGGCTGAAAATTATCTTTCAGCTTTAAACTTCATTCATGCTATAAAAATGTCATTATTCAAGGCCTGATGTGGTACTGGGCAACCTGACCTAGTTGAAGATGTTCCTGCCCATGGCAGGGGGTTGGACTAGATGACCTCTGAGGGTCCCTTCCAACCCAAACCATTCTATGAATCTGTGATTCTGAGTTTCAGGTTCATTTTCTTCTGTGGCCCCAGCTGATCACTTCAGTGGATGCCATTTGGTCCCACCAGTGTTTGAAATTCTTAATTGTCCTTTCTAGCTGACACTGTGATTTTGTTGTTGACATTCATGTACTGTAAATATAGCTCTGTCCAGGATGAATTCCATTTAAGAGACAATGCTTGACAGCCTTAGTAAATTCAGAATGATCTATTTGTTCATCAATATGTGTATATAATTTCCATTAAGCTACATAAAATGTGTGGAGAGCTATAATAACTAGAGTCTTTTAACACTTTAGTGTCTTAATAATTGCCAGGGAGATTTTACCACTAGATTGATATAAGTGCCCACTTTTCAAGGCTGTGGGAGCGTTGATTTGAAAACTAAGGAAGGAGTAATTTTCCTATGGGAGTAGATTTGCTGGAAGATTCTCCTGCACATCTTGGCTTGTTTGTCTGTCCCAGGCTGCTAGGACACTTTCCTAACCTCCTGTGTGTGGACTGCAGGTTTCTATTGACCCATGCTGCAGGCTCTTCTTGGCTGCAGGGTAGAGGTGTTGAAGCTTCCAGTTGCCGTGCTCAGAGTGCAGGAGTCTCAGTGCTTGCTTGGAAACATCCTCACATTTACACTCTGGCAAGGAAAGGCTAGGAGGAAGAGTAGAAGAGAGAGGTGTCTAATAACTTCATATTGTGCCCTACAACAATTTGATTTTGTTTTCATTTCAAAGGTTAATATATTCAACTTGGATTTGTTGAATCATGTAAAGTAATATTTCAAAACATCCTTCAGGAGAAAAAAAAAAGTGTATATATTTATATATTATGGTTAACTTATTTTATAGGACTAAAAAATGCCTGAAGATCTTTATAATGATTTTTGTGTGACAGAATCAAAGTTAATGATTTTGCAGGCCCCAGTTGTGGTTATATTAAAAATAATTGCATTACCCTTGCACAACTCATTGCTGTTGCTACATAGTTTTAATATTTTATGCAATTTTTAAGGACTGATCCTATTCTGAGGTGGGGGGAAAATGGAATAATCTGTGCCTTTTCTTCTGTCTCCAACCACAAAGAAACTCTGCTATCACCATTATCGAGATATTCATCAATCAACCTGCTCAATCTTCCTGGTTTTAATTACTTGTCTTATCCTTTATAAATACTTTTTAAATACATGCTTACTTGTAACACAGTTATCATATCCTAAAGAATTGTGAAGTTTGAAAAACTCAATTCAGGTTTTTGTCCCAAGGAGGCCTGAAACGGGTGATCTGCAAGTATATGTGTTTGAAAGTATCAATGGGTGATGTGTACCTGTACTGCTTTTGTTGTGCGTGTTGGCATACTGGACGTGAAAAAGCAGGAATTCCATATGTAAAATGGTCCGTATGTAATATGCTGAGCTTTTGAATACTTGCACAGAGAAGCTGTTTATTACTTAGGTGAATAATAATAAGGGCCAGTGAACACTGGAAGGGTTGCAAGATCTCAGAATGGAAGCAGTGAGACTTCTTGCATGTCATAGAAGTTTTTTTTTCTGTGTATATACGTAGTAGTTTCTGATAGTGCATCAGCAGCATCACTCTGCTGCAGCTAAAGAACACAAAATGTGGGTTTACCAATTTGAAAATCTGTGCAACATGGAGGGGGAGGAGAATAGATGTTAACAAGAAAGAAGTTACGGAAAGAGGCAATTTTGAACCAGTTTAATGGTGCTAATTAATATTTGGCTCTTAGTTAATTCTGCAAATTAACTCACATATCCTAATGATTACTGAACATCAGAAAGTGCCTGTGGGTGTAAGGAATGGGAGGTCACTGAGTGATGCAGAGAAGAGGCAACAATATGGGTATGGGAACACTCCTTCAAAACCAGAGATAAGTATAACAGCATTCATAGCACAACATCTTCATTCCAAATTTGCTATAGACATATTGGCATTACTTCTATGAAAGCATTTGAAATGTGAAGATATTAATACTTGGCATTGATAGGCAAGGAAAGGTTCAAGGACAAAGGAATTATGGCAGTTGGACAAGATCACAGAAACACTTTTTCCCAGGACTGGCACTTAAGCTTTGTCCTGTGATGTCTCAAACCTCTAGGCCACAGCTCTCCTGGGATATCACATAATACGTATGGATGAGTTTTCAAAGTGACCTGAAAGATAGGCACTGTGCTCCCTCAGAAGAGCAATAGGATCGAGGATCCTAATAACCCTTCTGAAAAGTTTCATCTTACAGACAGTCTTAACCGCTTCATCACACTCACTAAATAACAGCAGGTACTTGTTAACAGCATGTTTATTAGTCACTGAAAACAATTTATCCCTGCTTTGGGGCTCCTCTAAAGAAATTATGCCTCTCCATTTCTCAGCCTTCTTTCTCTGTGTAACACCTGAGAAATAATTGTTTTCATTTTTCTTCGCCTCATTGATTGTAGAATAAATAATCCATGAATAACTCCCCACCCTCGTTATTCTGCCATATCTGGCGAGCAATAACTTCTTGTTGAGTCTGTTAAAGGACGATGGCAGGAGGAATGGAGAGGGATGGAAAAGACCAGTCAGACTCTTGAAATCCCTAAACCATAAGGCTAGGAGATAGCCAGGTTGTCTCAGTCACATCTTGTGGGTGAAAACCATAATGATACTTTAATGCAGCTCGCTTCCTGGCTCGCTCTCGGACCGAGAATTAATTACCGAATGGAAGCATCTGCGTTCGCGGCTCCTGCAGCCCCAGGTCTTTGCAGGCAGGGATGCTGCTCACCGCCCAGAACTAGGAGCGCTCGGAGGACTTGCCTGCTGGCCGCCTCGCTCGCATCCGGCGGGCTGGAGCTCGGGGGGCCGCTACCACCGCGGTGTGCGGGGAGAGAGTCGCGGGGGCTGCGGGCAAACCTCCTCGCCCATCGTCAGCACCGCGACCAGCGCCAGCGGCCCGGCCTCCCCGCACCTGGGGACCCGGCCCCGAGTCGGCCCGGCTCTGTCCACGGTCCCCGCCGCTGCCTCTGCCTCTGAACCAGGCAAGGGAGGACGAGCAGGGTCCTGGAGGCCCGAGGGGCGCAGAGGAAGAGGGAGGAGCTGGAGGAAGCGAAGGGAAGGGGAGGATTTTCCCTTCTGCTGCCTTCTTTTTTCTTTTTTTTTTGCCCGGGGGGGAGGTTTCTGCTGCTGGTGGCAGCGTTTCCTTCTGCTGGAAGATGATGAGTACAGGAGGAGGGAGGCTCTGAACCTGCTTCTCTGCTGCGGGAGTGTCTCTCCCTCTCTCTCTCTCCCCCCCTCTCCCCGCTCCTGTGTGTTTGGCTCCCTGGCTGTGTGTGCGCGTACACTGTGTATATATATCTGAGCTGGGAGGTTATTGCAAGCTTCTCTCAGCAGCGCTGCTCGGTACAGGAAGAAGGGCTCAGCTGCAGTGGTAGCATCAACAGCAGCGTTAGCAGCACCAGCGGCTTTTTCCGCCTTTCTCCTTTCCCTTCATCTCCATCTCCTTTTCCCTCCCTCTCCCCTGTCTTCTGGGGATTGGTTTTCCTTTTTTCTGTTTTTCTCTTCTACGATCCTTCTTGTTTGACACTTCGTGGCTTTTCTTTTTTTTTTTTTTTCTTTTCTTTTTTTTTTTCTTTTATTTTATTTTACATTTCCTCTGAGAAGGAGACACAGACACAGACACGCACACACAAACACAGAGAAATAAGGGAAAGAAAAGTACCAGGACTTATCGTGCCGCTGCAAACCCAGAGATAGCAGACGAAGAGGGGGGTTGGCTTCTACCCCAAGGTAAAGCCCTGCCCCCTTTACCTCTTCACCACCTCCTCCGAGAAAGAAAAGGAGAGAGAGAGAGAAGGGGGCAAAGTGGAGAACAGCAGGTCTTCTGCGGCTGGCATTGGGAGTACAGGGAGCCAGGAAGTGAAGGATGCTTGTGGTTACCCGAGCTGGCTGCAGGGCAGCTCTCTTCCTCTGGATTTTCAGCAGCATTAGCTGCAGAGCCAGGACCGCTCTGCCTGCATCTCGTAAGTACCCTTTGCCTCGAAGCATTATAATTTCAGCTCTGCAAAAAGCCAGAGGGAAATTCCCACAACTCTGGGAGGTTGATTTTTTTTTCTCTCTGCCGGTGGATTTTGTGTTTGATTTTGCTGTGTATTTGTATGTGCATGTGTGCACTGAGGCTTGATGTTGTTTGCAGCACTCCCCATCAGATCTTCCTTAGCATAGATGATTTCAGTGGTAGCTGGTTTAGAAAGTTGAAAGTGTACTGCTCTATGATATAGTCGTGGTTCTGCAATGGAGTCAGGGGGAAAAGGAATCAGATAAAAGCTCTTCAAAGTTTAGGGGTGGGTTTTGGTTGGTTGGTTGGTTGGTTTGGTTTGTTTTCTCCCACCTTCCTCAGAGGGTATGCAATTTACATTTGGAAGTACTTCCACAGTTGCGTGAAGGAAAAGAGGACATGCGAACTGTTTCCGTAACTAGTGTGTTATCAAGGAGCAGCAAGAGAAAACAGTATCTCATTTGAAGAGCAAAGAATGATGGGGAGTTAATGACAGGGAATGGAGCCAGGACAGCTTTCCTTGAGAGTGAAGTTTTGCTTCCCATAATAAAATGAGCAAAGGTATTTTAGAGGATACCAGCAATTGTGCACCTAGGGAGGCAGAAATAGTTAAGAAATGATCAAGCATCTGCTGAAATGCTGAACTTCAGACAGGAGGAGCACCTATGCAGGACCCAGTTCTGCTGTCAGAGTCAAAATGACAGCATACTCATTGGTTTCCATGGGTGTTAGATCAGATCTTTAACATTGCACTGAGCTGTAGTTTCCAGCAAAACATTTGCAGGTAGATGTCAGTGTTAAGTATTTAGTTGTTTCTCTTCAGACCGTGTAAAGCATTTGCTATTTGCAAAGTATTTTTGACATGCATACTGAGATGAAGCAGTGCGTTTTTATACAGTCATTAAAAATAGACACTACTGTCGACTTCCTCTGCTGTTGATAAAGAAATGTCCTGAGATGTTACAAATAGATGTGTTGGGATTATGTGTATGTGAATGGGGGCTGGTTCTACTGACCAAGCAGGGGATTGTCTTAGAATGTAATGTGCATACTGCATACAGATCTATATGGATCATTCTATATTTATTTATTTGATTCCTTGGGGCAGGAATGAACAATGCAATGATTGGGGAAGTGGAACCCTGCTACACTTTCTCAGTGGGTTTCTATCTGTTATCATCTGATATCTGTTGAAAAATAAAACAGTGTTATTGTCCCAGGATTTGCTTACACTTAGACATATGTTTGTGTATCAACAGAAAATATGCAGCAGTGTCTGCATTGTATCTAGGTCTCAGGAGAGCTCTCAGGAGGCTACAGGATGTTCAGTTATTTTCTATGCTTTAGGAGAAATATTGATCCTGAGGTTTACTGCTTAGTTTGACCAGCTATCTAATTTTTCTTCTGAATCTTATTTCTTCGTGGTCATCTCTCAGGCTCTGCATAAAAGGAATATACAGGGAGGAAAAAAAGATTTATGATTTAGGTTGTCAGAAATCTGATACTGGAAAACAAAGTTCCCTGCTCTGCTTTTTTAATAATAGGATTTCCGAGCTTTTGTTTGTTTGTTTTGACTTTGTATAACTAATGGCTGTAGTTTAACTTGAAGATGACCTGCAGTGGGCTATCTGATTGCCCAGCTAAAAAGTCTTTAACTTTTGAAAGAAGTTAGCTGAGAAGTTAATGACTGTAGTAACATCACCATAACCAGAAATCCCAGGGATAAAGGGGATATATATAATATCTTAATTGCAGTTTACTGATACACATTTCCATATTGACAGTGTTTTTTTCAGATATCCAAAGATTTCTTTCTATTAATTCATCATCCAAGAACTTATGCACTACAGTGCTTATGTAGTGTGTAGCATTTCATTTCTGACTCACTTCTGAAAGTCAAATGGAGCAAGATGTGTTTACTGGAAACAGAAATATAGCTGGAAGTACACGTCAGCCTTAAAATGACAAAAGAAGTATTCACATTGCAGTACATACTTACAATTCTTGTAAAGATCTGTGTGTGCTTGGGAAGTGGTATCACAGTAGGAACTCAAGTGCTGTGTCACAGGGTTTTGGTGCAACACTGAACTGGTTATCCCATTGCATGCTTTGGCATACAAACTGGTCTCTGTTTGGGATTTTCTGGGACTGTTTCTCACTTCATGTGTAATTGATTGTGAATGGTGTTGGGGATTTTTGCTGTCCTTTGACAAGAGAATGCACTTAGTCTTTTATCTCTTTTTCCTCATTGATTTTGAATGTCATATTCGGAATACTTCTGAAATAATTAAAAATGGAGTGAAATGCAACTTTGATGTAAAACTGATTTCCAGCCACATTTTTCTTTTCCACTGCTACTTTATCTTTTGACTTTGAAGTAATTAACAACAGCAAATTTATTCTTCACAGTGGTTAGGAAGCATGCAAGAATCACTGTACAGGGCATTATAAATCCCTACATATGAGCTCACTATTCAGTGTTTGCTTATAGCCTGCTTGTGCTGACTGAGAAAAACATGCAGGTTTTGGAAAGAATAGAACTGTATGTCACTTAGGTGAATATATTGCATCTCAACTATTTGTTTAGTTTGTGAAGTCAGTAAATCTATCTCTGTCATTAAAATGATGTCTCTCAGCAATGCTGATTCAGAAGTGATCATGTTGAAAGCTTTGAATCTCATTCAGTTTTATGTCAAGATGAAGTGGGTGTTGAAAGCCCATCTTGTAGTACGGTAAACATACAGCATAGTATCACACACACACTAATACTCAGATCTTACTTTATATTTTATTCACAATCATGGTTTTTGTGCCTTGGCAATAAATTCATCATATTCTGCTATTTTTTTTAAATAAGCAGAGAGGGATCACAACAGTCTTAACTTCTGGAATCAAGGCTAATGAACAGCTCAACCAGGAGAGGTCATCACAAGATAAAAAGTAACACGGAAAATACAAATTTAGTGCTTGGTAGCCTTTTACATGGCTTAAAGATGGAATGATCAGAATATGACTACGAGTAGAGTAACTTTCACTTGTATTCTTATAAAAAACACACAAAGCAGTGACCTTGTCTTCTTAATGAGAATATTCAGGGATTCATCATAGGATCATCTGTTCTATATGAAAGCTACTCAATTAAAAAGTAATTGTCTCTCACAGCTAGGATTAATTTTGGGTTGTGTCTGTTTATGTGCAGTGCAAACCTGATCAGTACAGACCTATTAAAACTTCTAGTTCGGATACTTTTGATGCTTTTGCAGTAGGTTGCATAGTGCTGCTGCAGTTGAAGTTTAACCCTATTTGACAATAATCGATGCAGAAATCAATGAGGAAGGGGCAGGTATAGTAAATCATTAAGAGTTGTGTATAAGCAAAACTATGCATCTTTTAGCTTTGTCTGCCTAGCACCCGGACCTTCCTTAATAGCTTTGGTAAGCAAGAAAATGATTAAAAAGTGTAATGTCCCTTTTGAAAGAGCAAGGCATTGAACAAGAACCTTCTTTTCAGGAGTTCTGGACTGTATAGGACTAGAGAATCTGTTCTTACAGTTCCTGCTGCTTGAATGTTGAGTGTGTGGGTATGCCATATATTCTGTTGGGCTCACATTCAGGAATAGGTCTCTTCCAGATAATTTTTAGGCAAAACAGTATTTTGTGTATTTAGAGCAATTCCAGTTGTTTTTCTGTTACATGTGATTAGCATTTCCCAGGTTAGGTCCTGTTTGGATGTAAACTCACAGATCCCACAGGATACCAGACATTTTCATGGAGGTTTAATGTTTAAACATATTACTTACCCCTGGGTGTCAAAGCTTTTACAGATACACTAAACTTTTTAAGCAAAGGCCTAAGTTTCCATTAAGACCATAGGAATTCATAACGTTAAACATATGCTTTCTTTTTTGTTTTTTTTAAAAGGCTGGAGCTATAAATTAGACCATTTTATAATAGTACTGTTAGTTAAGGTGCTGTGCATCACTATATAATAAAACCAATATTCAGCTAAAAAACAGCAGTTTGTCGATTGACTGTTATTTAACAACACGCAACTGAGTTACTCGGGGTGACTTTTCAAATGAATATGCTTTTTCTTGAGCAGTACTTACCTTACATGGGAATAAAATGGTGATAAATAGTCTGCTGTCATGTCCAAATTGGTGACAGCAGCTAGAGCCTGTGTCGGTGCTGAAAAGCCAGAGTTTCAGAGTCCTTCACTTCTGTGCATGCAACATTACCCACAGCCTGATTGCAGACATTTGTCTATATGCAGAAAGCCTGATTCCAAGTTTGATGTGGTCAGTAGGCCTTGAATCAGTTGTAGATGTCATTGAATGAATGTTCTTTGCTTGGGTTACTTTCACTTTGTGTGCTTAGTTCAGTTGGTTTTTTAAACTCTGATGCAATAACATGGAATAAGACACACAAGTGCTTAGGTCAGTGGTCCAGTCTGCAAGAATGTTTGAAAGTGAAGTGAAAGACTATGAGTTGAAAACTTATCTCTGTGAATGTTGGCTGTTTCCTTTGCAAGGAGATGAGAAATACCCTCTGATTATCTCTAATTTTTTAACTCAGATCCTTTAAACACATGTGAAGGATTATTTCAGTGGATGGAGTTGTGACAGGAAATTATATATATCATATAGTAATAAGACATTGGAAACTGTAGCTCTACTTGGATAATTCACATCACTATAGATCTGTGACAGAGCAGGTTTTCCTATTGAAGTTCTTTAGGAATTTCAGCTTGGATCTCTAAATCTTACAAAGCATCAGATCTCATGTTCAATGTTCAGTAATTATAGTAATATTTATGACTTTGTAATACTCTTAGTGCTCAGGGCAATAACAAACCATGCACACAGACTATGGGTGTTTACTGCAGTAACTTTTTCTAGACATACATAAGCTGATCTACCTCTGAGCAATTTGACTCATTGGTCAGACATAACAGGTTAAATCATGA